CGCCCCAGCTCGGGCGGGCGCCCCCTCCCCAGACCTCGTTGGCTGACTCTCGGGGGAGCCTCCCTTTGCCCGGATTCTGAGGGCGCCCCCTTCTCCCCTCCCTCACTCTGCTTTCCGCTCGCCCGGCTCCGCGCTGCCCCGGCGCGGTGAGGACGGGACCTGTTCCCGGCGAGGCTGTGGGGCGCCTCCTTCCACCGTCTCCTTTCCTTCTCTTCGTAGGAGCCGGAGCTGACGGCCAGGCTGTTGGCCCAAAACGGTGAGCTTCCCGGCGGGGAAAGGGGGCTGCTGCGGGCGGAGAGGGAGAGGGCGGCCCGGAGCCTCTGATCCGCCCCCCAGATGAAGCCGTCGCTCCCCCTTCCGACTGACCTCTCTGGTCGCCAACTGTCCCTTTCCCCGAGTCCGCTTGAAATCTCTGCTGTGTCGGGGCTGAGGTCCCTCACCCCTGAGAATCCCAGCTCTCCTGCCTGCTCATCCCCTCTTTTCCGGCCGCCTCCTCTTCTTTTTCCACAATGGAAAGTGAACCCAGAGCCTTTGCACCGAACGACATCCCCAGCTTTTTTTTTTTTTTTTAATTTTAAATTCTGAGACTGACGCAGGCGGTGATGGCACACGCATGTAAGTAATCCCAGCTCTGGGGAGGCTGAGGCAGGAGGATCCCCGTGAGTTCGAGGCCAGCTTGGGCTACAGAGCAAGACCCTGCCTGTCTCAAAAAACAAAACAAAAAATCTGAATCTGTCTCCCTGAATCGCTATCTTTCCCAGGCTGAGCTCGAGCTAAAGTGGCAGGCTACTGGCAATCTCTCTCTCTCTTCTTTCTCTCTGACTTTCTTCCTTTCTTTCTTTGTACTGGGGATTGAACTCCGGTCCTTGCGCTTGGGAGGCAGGCGGCAGAACCAAGCTGGGGAGCTAAATCCCCAGCTCCCATTGTCCTAGTTCTCCCGCTCTTTGGTACCCCCCCCTTTTTTTCTGGTACTGGGGAATCAACCTCAGGACCTTGGCCTTGGCAAGTGGGCGGGGCGCCACGGAGGTACCGCCCCGCCCTTTCCCTGTCCTCCTTTCCCCCTCCTCCGCCCTTGTCTGCCTGCCCTCTACAATTTTTTTTCCTAATAATGTTTTTATGGGTACACGTTTGCGGCATGTAACAAACTCCGTTCACCCTGAGGATGCAGGTAACCTGTCTTAATTCCTTTTACTTCCCTTCTCCCTCCCCTCCCTCTCCCTCCCTCCCTGGATCCTCTTCCATTCGCAAAAGTTCTATCTCACTATGTCCTATGTTTTTTTGTTTTGCTCTTTGTATTTGGGGTTTCTCGTATAAGAGACATCGTGCAATGTGTCTGATTTTAGTTCTCTTAACATTGTAGTCTTTTGGTGCGGCCATTTTCCTACGAATGACTCAAGTTTATCTGTCTTCATGACAGAGTAATACTCCATTTGTATATATACCACGGTCATACAAGCTGCTTTCAAGATACTGCTAGTGTGAGTTGTGCTGCTAGAGGTGTCCATGCATCACTGTAATATGAAGTCTTCATTTCTTGTTAATTTATTCATTTATTTTTGAGACAGTGTCTCATTACATAGTTCAGGCTGGCCTTGAACTGATGATGTAGTCCAGGCTGGCCTCTAACTTGTGGTGATCCTCCTGCCTCAGCCTCCCAAATGCTAGGATTATAAGGCAGTATGATATCTTGAACTCTTTTGAGAAGATACCTAGAAGGAGGTTAGCTGAGACACATGGGATTTCTCGCTTCAGTTTTTCGAGTTGTCCCTGTATGGATTTACATAGTGGTTGTACTAGTTTTTTGTTTTTATCTTTATTTTTTCCAGCACCAGGATCAAACTCAGGACCTTGCGCTTGCCAGGCAGGCGAAGAGCCACTGAGCTACATCCCCAGCCCCTGGTTGCACTAATTTAGCAGCCTTTCCAGCATTATTATTTTTTTCGTTTTTGGTTTTTTGAGACAAGGCCTTGCTGTGTAGCCCAGGCTGGCCTCGAACTTGCCGGCCCCTGAGCGCTGGAATGAACCATGCACCACCATGCCAACTGGCTAATTTCTTGATGATAGCCATTTTTTCTGGTGTAAACATGGAATCCCTGTTATTTTTGTTTATTTTATTTTATTTATTTATGTATTACTTATTTTTTGATACCAGGGATCAAACTCAGGGCCTCGCGTTTGCCAGGCAAACACTTTAAATCCCTGGACCCCAGAATCCCTGTTACTTTAATTTGCGTTTCTCCAACGGCCAGAGATGTCGATCATTTTTTTTTTTTTTTTGGTACGTGGGAGGGGGCTTGAACTCGGGACCTTGCACTTGTGCGAGGCACCACTGAGCTAAATCCCCAGCCCAGTTTTTAAAATATATTTATTGTACATCTGATAAGTGTCTGTTCATGTCAGTTGCTCATGTTTTGGTTGGGTCTTTTATTTTGGGGGGAGGTCTAATATTTTAAAGTCCTTTATGTGTCCTAGATATTAGTCCTCTCTGAGGAGTAGTTGGCTAAAACCTTTTTCCCATTCTGTAGGTTGTCTGTTCACTGTGTTAATGGTTTCCTCTGCTGTGTGGAAGCTTTAAAATGTCATATAATCCCATTTTCTTATTAACGCGATCTCTTGTGCAATTGGAGCTCTCTTCAGGAAGTCCTTGTCTACACTTATGTCTTCAAGACATTTGCCTATCTTATCCTCGAGCAGACTGCATGTTTTTGCTTTAATATTTAGGTCTTTGATCATTTTAATTTTATTTTAGTGGGTCTAAGCTCCATCTTCTGCACCCGTGTAGCCAGTGTTCCCAGCACTGTTTATTGAAGAGGCCGTCTCTCCTCCACTGTGTGCTTTTGGCCCCTTTGCCAAAGATCAGATAGCTGGAGCCGGGCGTGGTGGCGCACGCCTGTCATCCCAGCACTCGGGAGGCTGAGGCAGGAGGATCCCTGTGAGTTTGAGACCAGCCTGGGCTACATAGTGAGTTCCAGGTCAGTCTCAACTACATAGTGAGACCCTGTCTCAAAAAAAAAAAAAAAAATCAGATAGCTGAATGTGGCTGGGGTTCTTTCTGTGTCTTCTGTTTTGATCTAGAAACCCGCACGTCTGCTTTTGTGCCAGCACCGTGCTGTTTCTGTTTTGCTATTTTTTGTTATTTTTTTTTTAGACAAAGTCTTCTACATTTTTTATCTTATTTTATACCATTTCCCCCCCAAGCCCCTTCCCTCCCTAAATGCAAAAGCTTTGTTTTGATGTTTTCCTCTTATTGTCATTTTCATTCTTTTCTTGTCCTTTTTCTCCCTCCCTTCTATTTTTTATTTTAAAAATTTAGTTTATTAGTGCATGTGTGCAGTACATGTTTGCATTCTTCGTGTGGAGTTGGTATGTACGTGTTCCCAGTACGTCCAGTTCCTTTCTTCATCCCCTCTCCGTTCTCTCCCTCCCACTGCACCCCTTCCTTGATCCCCACTCCCCCTTTTTTGTGCACATGTATTTGTTTGCAGTACATATATGTATGGAGTTGGTACATACACATATTTATCCCTTATCCCTTCCCCTCTCCCTTGTTTCTTTTTCTTTTTTTTTTTTTTTTTTTTGAGACAGGGTCTCACTCTGTAGTTGAGACTGACCTGGAACTCACTGTGTAGCCCAGGCTGGTCTCGAACTCCCAGCGATCCTCCTGCCTCAGCCTCCCGAGTGCTGGGATGACAGGCGTGCGCCACCACACCCAGTTCCCTTGTTTCTTTTTTAAATTGCTGCAGTTTTGTAATCTAATTTGAAATCCAAGATTGTGTTACCTCCTGCTTTGTTCTTCTTACCCAGGCTTGCTTTTGTTGTTTTTCGTTTTGTTTTGTTTTTTAAATTTTGTGAGACCAGGATTGCACTGTATAGTTCATCCTGGCCTTGAACTCACTGTGCAGCCCAGGCCAGCTGGCCTTGAATTTGCAGCAGTCCTCCTGCCTCAGCCTCTTGAGTACTGGGATTATAGATGTGTGCCACCACACCTGACCTCTTTAGGGATTTTATCATGAGTGGATGTTGGATTTTGTCAAAGGCTTCTTCCTGTATTTATCAAGATAATGTTGGGATTTTTTGCCCTTGTTTCTGTTCATGTGGCTATGTATTGATTTTCATGTATTGAACCTCCTTGCATTCCTGGGATGAAGCCTGCTTGGTGATGATATATGACCTTTTTGATGATTTTATTGCATTTTGCTGGCCCGTATCTTGTTAAGGATTTTTGCATCTATGTTCATTAGAGATTGGCCTCAGTTTTCTTTTTTCAGTTGAGTCCTAATGTGATTTTCACATTCCCAGAATTTAAAAAATTGCTTTTCCTTCTATTTTTTTTCTTGTTCCTTCTTTTCTGTCTCCCTCTCTCCTTTCAGTTTATAACATGGGTGTGCATATATAGCTGTTGTCTGATGCTTTTCATTCTTTTGGGAAGATACCAAGATGGAGAATAGCTGGGTTGAAAGGAACCTCTAGCTTTAGTCTTTGGAGGAATCTCCACACTGATTTCCACAGCGGTTGCACCAGTCTGCACTCCCACCAACAGTGGAGCAGGGTTCCTTTCTCCCCACAGCCTGCCAGCATTTGTTAATTGGTTGCTTTCATGATAGCAGCCGTTCTTTCTGGGTGAGATGGAATCTCACTGTTGTTTTCATCTGCATCTCTCAAATGACTGGTGGTGTGGAGCATTTTTTTTTATATAGTTATTTACCATTTGTACTTCTTAATCTGAGAAGTGTTTTTTTTCATTTCCGATGCCCATTTTTGAACTGGGTCTTTAAATTTGAGGAGTCCGATTTGGGGGGGATCTTTTTTTTTTTCTTTAAGTTCTTTATATATTCTAGATAGTAGTCCTTTGAATAGCTGGTAGAAATTTTTTCCCACCCAGCACTTTAAAAAAATTTTTTTTGAGGTAGGGTCTTGCTAAGTTACTGAACTGGTTGGACTCGGTATAAATTTGCCATCTTCCTGCTTCAGCCTCCCAGAGTGCTGGGGTTTCAGGCCTACCCACACTGCCTGGCTTCTTCCCCTTGTTCTGAGACCTTCATATCCCCCGTGTCCCCTCCTCCTCCGCACAGTGACCCTCGTTTCCCAGTTTACTGTTTCCAACATCCCTCTGTGCCCCTTGACCTGTTTCCTTTCTTCTAAGTCTTCTTTTTCTTCCCCCGGCACCCTACTCCCTTGTTTGTTCCACTCCTTCCTCCTGAAATTTCCCTTCCTGCCTCCCCTTGCCCACTTTCCACCGGATCTTGCTGAGCCCCTCTTTCTCCCCTCTCCTCCCCTCCCAAGTGTTCTCCAGTACTCGCTCTCCCTACCCCTCATTTCCCTATGGAGGAGCCCCCCTCCTCCGCCTCTGGGGATGAACCCAGGGTCTCAGCACTGAGCCTCACTCTAGCACTTAACTTTTTATTTGGGGACAGAGTCTTACAAAATTGTGCAGGTAGGGCTTGAACTTTAGATCCTCCTGCCTCAGCCTCCTAGAACGCCCTCCCTTTTGGTGATCTTGTGATGTTCTACCTTCTGGGGCCTGGATGTGGCCCATCACCTCTTTATTCCCTGCTCACCCTTCCCCTCTTGATGGCTTCCTCCTCCGATTGTCCTTTCCTCCGTCCCGTCCCCTTTTCCCGTTTTTACTGTGTCTCCTCTGCTTCTGCCGTGAGCTAGGCCACCCAGGCATACTGAGAACTCATGTGCCGCTGTCGGCCTCAGCATCTCCTTCCTTCTCTGCCTCCCCCAGTGACCCTGGAAAATGGGACCCTGAGCTGGTACAACCATCGAGGGTTAGCAGGTGCGCACTTGTCCCCGGGCCTGACCTATGATGAGCACAGGCAGGAGCTGGTGGTGGCGAAGGCTGGACACTACCAGGTCTGTCTGCACCTGGAACTGAACAACGTGTTGGTGTTGCCGACCTCCCAGGACTCCTTCAAGGTCTCGCTGACCCTGCACCTGGAGCCGCCGCAGGCTGGGGCCACCGCCCGACCTCTGGCCGTGGACCTGACGCCCTACTCCTCCTCGGTCCTAGTCCGGGGTTCCCGCTGCCAGCCGCTGCAGACGGCCGAGCTCCAGAGACTCAGTGTCCGCATGAGCGTCTACCCGCGCACCGGGGGCGGCAAGCACCAGGCCTGGCAGCTGGCCCAGCCCGCCACCAAGTTGGAACTCTTCCGGGTGGGCGGCAGTGCCCCGACCTGGTGATGCTGCCCACTGATGCACGGGCGTCTCCTGTCCTCCCCTTTCTCCCTCGTGCCGGGACAGGGTGCTCTACCTCACGGGCTGGGCGGGGCCTCTGTGCTGCCGCCACCCCAGGACTCTTCTTACTATTTATTCTGAGCCCAGCTCAGGAAGTTCAACTTTATTCTGATAACATTGTATTAAACTGCTATTTATTGATTGGTAGCTGTGTTTCAGTCCGGTGCTAGAGGATCCTTGGAAAAAACAGACCCCAAATAAACATTTTTATTTATGTTAGTAGGCGAGAAACCTTACCCCTCAGCCCTCTTGTGAAGCTGTGTTTTGGGTCTGGGAAGCGAACATCACTCATCTGAGAGTTGTTCGTTCACTGAGGACTCAGTGACGATGGACTCACTGATGTTTCTTTTTCTTTTCCTCTTTTGCAGTGCTAGCCTGGAACCCAGGGCCTCGTACATATTAGGCAGGTGCTGTGCAACTGAGCTACACCTCCAGGCAGCTCTTATTTTTAGTTTGGAGACGAGGCATTGCTAGATCACTAAATGGCCCAGGCTGGGCTTGAACTTGCAAACCTGGCGCCTCCGGCTCCCGCCGTGCTGGGATGACAGGTGTGGGCTGTTGGGCCTGGCTTTTAGCAGTTCTTTACGGGCTCCTTAATCCAGTCGTGTCAGTACCTAAAATTAATCGCGACAATATCGAATAATAAACTTTGCTGAGCTGGGTGGGGCGAGACGTGCCTATAAGCCCAGCTACTCTGGGGGTTGAGCAGAAGTCCCAGCCCAGCCTGGAGATTTTTAGTTATTAATGAGGGGCTTGGAAGGCGATTGGACTGTGGGGGTTCTTTTACCATCCGTGGCTGAATCCAGAGTTCACAAGCTCTGAGGAAGTGGGGCACAGTTGGAGGCAGCTCATAAGGGAATGTGACCTAGAAGGAGTGGCAGTTTCCCCCTGCCAGGTCCTTCCACCATGTTTCTGCCTTGGATCCAGCAGACCATGGACTGAGCCCTCTGAAACCATGAGCAAGAATGTACCTCTCTTCCCTTAAGGTACAGGTATTGGGTACTTTTTTCCCAACAGTAGTAACGACTAAAACATATAACTGGAACCCAGGGCCTTCACACTGACCTATATCTCTAGCCCTTTTTATCGTTTGAGATAAGGTCTCCTTAAGACTCTAAATTGCCCAGATTGAGCTTGAACTCTCAGTCCTCCTGCCTCAGCCTCCTAGAGTTTGGGATCACTGGCATGCACCACCATACCTGGGTTTATGAAGAATATTTGATATTATTGCAGATAATTCCTAATTTATAATGGTTCAACTTAGGATCTTTCTACCTCACGACTATGTGAAAGCACACACCTGCAAACAGGGCTTTCCATCTTCAGTACAGGGTTCAATAAATGATACAAGATTGTCAACACTTTATTATAAAGTAGGCTTTGTGTCAGGTGGCTTTGATCAACTGTAGGTTAATGAAAGTGTTCTGGGTACATTTAAATTAGGCTAAACCAAGCTAGGATGTTCAGTGTATTAGTATATCCAATGCATTTTTGGGGTTTTTTTTGTTTGTTTGTTTGTTTTGGTTTTTTGAGATAGGGTCTCACTATGTAGTTGAAACTGACCTGGAACTCCCTATGTAGCCCAGGCTGGTCTCGATCTCACAGCCATCCTCCTGCCTCAGCCTCCTGAGTGCTGGGATTACAGGCGTGCACCACCACATATGAAGATATGTTTTGCTTTCTTGTTGAGCACAGTTGACACCTTTTTGGTTTTTCTGTTGTTGTAGCAGGTCTTTGTGATGCTGCACCTGCCTGTCCACCTGTCAGCTCACCAGTGTGCTCCCCATTTTTTTTGCATGGTTCCCTGGGCAGACACATTCTGTTTTTCCTTGACTGTAAATGACCGTGTGAGTTCTGGTTCCAATCCTCTGAGAAAATTTATTCATGGTAAATTGAGTTACTGATGGAGTTAACTCGTCAACAACATTTACTCCACCTTTAGGTTTGTTGTAGAAAGTTTCCATCTCAGGCTTCCATTTTGTCAAGGTCTCCCCTGTCAACATTTCCACTGTGGTGCAATGTTGACATCAGCAATATGAGTTTTTTTTGTTTTTTGCCATATACAAGGCCAATGTAAATCTTTTGGAAATCCAAAGATTTTATTATACAATTCTCTGTTTTGAAATAGCAACATTTCTATATCTGCTTTGTTCCTGCATACAATTCCTATGCTGGTCAACTTGTGCTCTGTTAGCAAATGTAACATTGATTGGAAACTGGTAAACCAGCTGTCAAATGTCACGTTCCAATTACTTTGGGAGACTGGAGCATCAAGTCTGTTCACATCATTCATTTTATTACTATATGAATAAGGACTTGGTGGCTGAGTTCCAGGATAAATTTCTAAATTGAGAGTGTAGCAAGTCTTCGCATTTATAAGGGCATAAATTTGTATGTCATATTTTGACCCGTCACTTTCCCAAAAGTCTTTTGCATTCTTGCAATTACCATGAGAAGTCCCTGCTAAGTACAGCAGACTTGAGAATACTTTCAGTTCATCTAGGGACGTATCATATACACGAATACATAATAAACACGTGAATGCATAATAAATAACGAATGCATAATCAGACCAAGGAAAATCATCTTAAAAGGAAGCAGAGGTCAATAAAGGTAGGAAAGACTTGAGGGCATGTGGCAATGGACACTAGGAAGCATTGGGAGGAAGGGCCCCAGGCGTTGTTGAGAGCTGGAGACCAAGACACACGCCTGTGCCTCGCAAACCCAAAGACCCGAGTTCGATTCCCGGTACAAAAAAAAAAAGACACACCTGCACGTTGGTGGAATCAAAAGGGCCTGGGAGTGAGTCGTTTGGGGCTCCTCTGGCCATCACACTGAACCTCCTCCCCGTCCCTCTCACGCTCATTTGCATCAGTCTTGAGGAACAGTAAATAACCAGCTTCCGAAGAGACCTCTGGGAAGATGTCAGGGCCGGGGAAGGAGATGCAAAGATATCAGACATGAAGAAAAGACATTGTGTCATCAGACCCAGCCTGCCGGAGCCCGGGACCAGGCATCCCTGCAGCAACACTGTGGCCTCCCCATCTGCCTGCCACATGCTGTGAGCTCAGAGCTGGGCCCTGGGGCGTGGGGAGAGAGCGTTGCCAGGCTTGCCTTGGGGCTTTTGCATCTTCTCACTGCTGCAGAGCAGAAAGGGCAGGGAAGTCTGCACCGGAACGGAGGGGTCTGCACCGCGGAAGCCTCCCGCTCTGGAGGTTCAACTCTGAATCCCTCACACTAGTGCTGGGAGCTCCATTTTAGCCACACAGCGACCCCCACAAAGCCCAGTTTCCATACCACTCCAGCTGAGATGCCTGGCAAGCTTTCTTGTTGTTATTATTACTATTCTTTGTTGTTGTTTTTCTCATGTCAGAAACAACCTAGGAGCCAGAGCTGGAAGGACCTGCAGAAACATCTCGTCCAAACCTCTATTTTATTTTGTTATTTATTTATTTATTTAAAAAAATTTTTCTTTGGTACCGGGGATCGAACTCAAGACTTTGTGCTGGCGAGGCAGGCGGTGAAACCGCTGAGCTAAATCCCCAGCCCCACACCTCTATTTTAATAGACCGGCAAAGTAAAGCCCAACGAGGGCCACCCCACACAGCCCGTGAGGGGCAGAGCCCAAATTTAACCTCAGCCCAGCTTTCCTTCCCCGTCTGCCACACTCTCCGAATTAAAAGGAGAGGGTCAGAAAGGAAGAGGACCTTTAGCATATTAAATTGGGGGCTGCCAGCTCTAAGACAGGGTCACACAGGCTTTGGACGCGGTGGGGGCAATGCAAGGAGGCCTCTTCCAATGCCACTGCCTGCAGCGATGCTCAGGGTGTTAGGAGCAGGGTTTGTAAAGGATGGAAAGACAGGCCAGCCACAGGCAAATACGTGGAATCGCCTTACTCCTGAGCACCAGCTCTTGGCTCCTGGGCCCCCTGCCCACTGCCGGGGCATCCAGGCCCTTCTGGGCGCCACCGGCCTCGGGGGTGGTAGGGATGCTCTGGATGGGAGGCATTGGCCTGGGCACCCTCAGGAGCCTCTGGGGGGTGGTGCGGGGGATGGTGTTCCGGAGAGGGACCCCTGGGGGGGCTCCCCCTGGATCAAGAGAGGCTGCACGGGGTGGAGACAGGAGCGAGTTAGCCCCGAGGGAGTGGAGAGTAGGCTTGGGGACATCCGAGCCTGGCTGACGGCTCCCACCCAGCCAGCGGACACCGACGGCCCTGAGCGTCCTTGTCCAGTCAAAGTCACCCATTTACAATTTAAGGGCAAGTGTGGGGAGGAAGGGAAACAGAACCAGTTCTGAGTTACGACTGAGGACAGCAAGTTCTGGCCCCGTAGAAGCCCGCATGACCTCGGGCAAGTCACTGTCTCTGTGATGCCACGTGTGAAATGGGGTATTCACAAAGCCTCGATGACCCCACTTGTGAAAGGCCAAGCCAAGCCGGGCGTGGTGGTGCACGCCTGTCATCCCAGCACTCGGGAGGCTGAGGCAGGAGGATCGCTGGGAGTTCCAGACCAGCCTGGGCTACACAGTGAGTTCCAGGTCAGTCTCAACTACATAGTGAAACCCTGTCTCAAAAAAACAAAATAAATAAATAAATTAATTAAATTAAATTAAATTAAAAGCCAAGCCAGTGCCCGGCATGGGACCGGCACCAAACAATCCCTTCCGCTCCGCCTCCTTTGTAGTTAAGGAAATGCAGCTGTCCTGACACTTCTCACAGCTGGGAGACAGGCCACCACACTTCCGGCCCTTGGGTTAATCCTTTACGTGTCTAGTGGACACCTCCAGCGCCCCGTCCCCATCCCGTCCTGCAGAACAGCACCTCGGGGCAGGTACACACTGACCAAGGCCAGCAAGTCACTGCGACACCCGCTGATCCTCACAGCCCAGGGCCAAGGGCCCGACCCTGGGGTGGGTGGATGGCAGCTGGCAGGGACCAGGGCTCACCTTGCAAAGATGCGGCCGTGCCCTCCTAGAGCCTCCTCTTCTTCAGTTCGTCCTTGATCCCGGTGGTGTCTCTGGCCACACTGCTGGCCTCTGGCTCCAACAAGCTGACAGATCCGGTAGGGGCTGAGGTCCCAAAGACAGAGCTCCAAGATCCCTGGGGTGCCCATTCTTCGTCTGCCGGCCCTTCAGAGGGGCGCCCGGTGGGCACCCAGTCGGAGGCTGACAGAGACATGAGCAGCTTGGCACCTAGGGCCTGGGGTGGCACAGGTCCTGGCAAGCTCATTGGCCTGGCTTCCTCGGCACACTCAGAGCTCCTGTCCCTCCCGGGGACACTTCATAATTCAACGGTATCTTTAAGGCTCCTTACCTGAGCCAGACCCGTGTCACAGGGCGCGCGGGGGACAGAAGGGGGTCCACATGCTGCTGTCCCAGGACGGCCGAGAGGCCTCAGGAAGGAGACCCCACCAGCCCAGCCTCGCCCTCTGCCTCCAGGAGGCTCCCTCGGGTCCCTCAAAGAGCCCGTGCAGTTAGGGGGCTGGCAACAGGTTGTGCCCACAGGCAGGCTCAAGTTCACCCAGGTACGCATCCGGCCAGCCCCGAGGTGCCAAGCACTGGCCGTGTGGGGCAGAAGTGAGTCTGGGTCCTTGAGGGGCTTTCCATCTGCTGGAGGAGCAAGAGCTGCGGTCCGAGGCAAACGCGGGATGTGCCAAGGGTGACCAAAGCCACGTGAGTGTGTGTCAGCTTGGACAGGAGGGGCTGATGGGGAAGACCTGGGTGGGTTCCGGTCTGAGTCGGGAGCCACAGACCCCCAGAGGCAGTGGAAGGCCGGGGCGGGGAGCTTGCAGCAATGCTTGGAGGCCCCTGTGAGACTCCGGGGCCTGAGCTGCAGATACTGGACTGCAGCTGCCTCACAGCATGAGGAGAGCCGGACTCCGGGCCACCCACAGGCCTGGGAGGGAGCTGGAACCAGAACCAGGACCAGAGCCATATCCCTCAGACAGTCAGCCTGGTGGGGGGAAGTGAGGGCGGAGTCAAGAGGAGCGGAGAAAGCACCCCAGCAGGGGGGTCACACTAACAGAGCGACACTACCTCGCACCCTCCCAGGCCCTGACACGCAGACCCCACAGAGCACCAGCCCCGTCTTCCTGGGCTAATGAGGCTCCCCCGGGATCCCAGGAGAGCCAGCCCCCTCTTCGTGGTGTCTCCCCCCTGGAAACCCTCATCCCCTGAGGTACAGAGTTGAAAGGATCTGTGGAAAAAAAAACAAAGGACATCTGCAGCAGGGGCCACAATAAAATTAACACCCACACGGGTTTTCACGCTTACAGACGTAAGCCGCAGCCCTTGAGAGGCTAAGGCAGGAGGACCTTTGACCCAGGAGTTCTAGGCCAGCCTGGGTAAGGCGGTGAGACCCCATCTCAAAACAAAACAAATAGAACTCCCACCGTGGCGTGACCGCGCCCTGGGCATCCATCCGAATCTCTTCAGTCCCCCTTCTGATGATTCCAGGCAGGGGCCAGCCCTAGGGACGCTCCCACAGCACATGGCCAGCTGTGGTGCCTGTCGCGTGCTCTGGACCCCACCTGACCTGCTGGCCAGCCCCTGGTCCAAAAAAATAAAAAAAAAAAAACATTAAAAGAAAGGGTTAAAGCTGGAGGTTAGCTTAGTTGGTTAGAGTGCGGTGCTAGTAATAAAAGAAAAATGGAATACTTCTTTTCTTCAAAAGATACGAGTATGACAATAAAAAGGAAGCCCAGAATTAGAAAATATTTGCAAAACACGCATCTGACAAAGAGCTCGTATCCAGGATGTAGCTCAGTGGCACTGTGCGTGAAGGGCCAGGGTAAGGTCCTGAGTTTGATCTCCAGTATTGAAAGGAAAAAAAGTGAAAGCTTATATCCAGAACACTGTATGTATGTGTGTATTTATATTTATTTATTTTCTTTTGGTACCGGGAACCGAACTCAGGTCCTTGTACTTGCAAGGCAGTTGCCAGAACCACTGAGCTAAATCCCCGCCCCTTGTATATATTTATAAAGAGGATCTTGCTGTGTAGTCCAGGCTGGCCTCGAACATGTGGTGATCCTCCTGCCTCAGCCTCTCAATTGATGGGATTACAGGCATGCATCACCATGCCTGGCCAGAATACAATTTAAATAATAAAAGGCAATTTAAAAATTTAAATTTAGCTCAGGGATTTAGCTCAGTGGTTCTGCTGCCAGGGATTTAGTTCAGTGGTTCTGCTGCCCGCCTCGCAAGCGCAAGGGCCCGAGTTCAATCCCAGTACCCAAAACAAAACAACAACAACAACAAAAAATTGGTTTAGCCGGGCTTGGTGGCGCATGCCTGCAATCCCAGCACTGGGTTGTTCAGGCCCCGAAACAGCACCCAAAGCTCCAAGTTGTCACCATCTCAGTTAAAAACAGAGGGAATTAACATTTTGCTCATGTTAGACATTAGCCATGAAATTGCAGCTCTAGGCCACACTCAAGCTCTGAGACTTGGGGAGGGATCTTTAAGCGTAAACTTTGCCTCCTTCCACTGTCTCTCCAACCGAGTCTCTCTCAGCACAGTCACACAAGAAGTTAACACATTCCCTCCCTGGGGACCCTTATGAAGCACAATAACAAATCGAGGGCAATCGGAACCACCACACGTAGCAAAGAGTCGGGGCTGATGAGGCCTGCACGCTATGTTTTGCCCAAATTGAGGACATAAATCCTCACAAAAGGCAGAGAAGGGAGGGCAAGCAGGCCTCCAAACTAATCTGCCCAGACGTTCAGTTAAGAACCAAAACAAAAGCAAAACAAACCAGGGGTTGCCCAGGTGATCTCACCATTCAGACTGACGATTTCACCCACTTGAATTCCTTCCTTCTGCTGTCTCTGTTTGAGGTTTGAGCCTCTGAGTCCTAGAAGGGGAACCCAGGAAATCCAGGGGACGTGCGCCTCTTCCCTTCCTGGCCAACGCACCCAATACTGCGGAAGAGACTGGCGGTGACACTCACGTAGAGACGAGCTGAATAGAAGTCAAATAAAAAGTTTATTTTGTCAGAAAAGGGTCGATCGCAGTCAAAAAGGCAGAGGCGGCGACTGGCCTGCTATTGGGTTGCAGCTCCTCCTTTTATAGGTTTTACAGCTATGACCTCATTAAGGTGGTTACGTTGCATTTCCTTAGTGCACATCGCCCGTGTACAAATTACAGTAACCAGACAGTTCGCTTTAACCCAGACATCGAAGCTCCATGTAGTTAGGGAGTGGCCCTCAAGAATTCCTCTAGCTCGCTATTCTAGTGCACAGGGAGCAGGTGTTTCGGGTCAGGGATGAGGCCAGATGTCCCACTTCATGGTCAGTGCCTCAGGTGTCTGTTAATTTTGAACCAAACAAAGCAGATTGCTGCTAGAAGACAGCGCAAGTCATTTTACAAAAAGGTCTCTGTATCAATGCCAAGGGTTCTCTCCTTTTATTCATATGAAAAAAGAAAATTCCTTTGAGAATCATTTGAAGCTTGGACAAAAATCCCACAACTCTCCTCCCGAAGGATCATTCTGTCGTCTGCAGGATTCAGATTCGGAGAGGACCTTCTGGCCGGCAGGACCTCCCCACCCCACCGGGAGGATGTTTGTGACAATCACACTGCAGCTTCTGCTGTTACCATCGGCTCCCCAGTGTTCAGGTCCACACCCGACTCTGAATGTTCTGCTTGGGCTGGGGATTTAGCTCAGTGGTTCCACTGCCTGCCTCACTTAGCACAGGGATTCGAGTCCGATTTCCAGTACCAAAAAAGAAAAAAAAAAGTCATTAAACTGAATGTTCTGCTTGAAATTTAACTATTGTTTCCTGAAGGTCAAAGCAGAGTTCTGAGCAAGGACTTTGGGAACAGGGAGCAACACGTCAACAAAAGCCTGGACTCCAAGCCGGCCCGGCCCTTCACGCTGGCCTTGTGTTTAATCAATGCTGGCTGAGCTGCACCGAGAACGGGCAGCCATCATCGATGGTATTTTTGACAGCCCTCAAGCCACCTCTTACCTCGTCCTTGATTTGAGTGAGAGCACTTATTTGGCCTGGGATTTAGTTCAGTGATGCTGCTGCCTGCCTTGCAAGTGGGAAGTCCTAAGTTTGATCCTCAGGACAAAAGAAAGAAAGAAGGAAAGAAAGAAAGAAAGAAAGCAAGCAAGCAAGAAAGCCCAAAGACACACTAGATAAAAAAAAAAGGAACCCACACACACACACACACGAAATAGGTATTCTACCATTGAGCTACACTCCCCTCTACTTACTTTTGTTTTTTTTTTTTTGTTTTTTTTTGGTGGTACTGGGGATCGAACTCGGGTCCTTACACTTGCGAGGCAGGCTCTGGAACCACTGAGCTAAATCCTCAGCCTGTCCTCTACTTATTTTTTAACATGCATTTCCATTGTGACAGCAGTTGGGGCTCAGCCCCAGGGAATGAGGTATCATATAAAAAGATACAGGGTGCTCTGGGAAGCTGGGCAGGAGGGTCACATGTTGGAACCAAACATGGGTTACTTAGCAACTTGCTGAGATCTTGTCTGAAAATGAAAAAGAAAGAAGGGACTGGACTTGCAGCTCGGGGTGAAGGTCTTGGATTCAATCTCCAGAATTGAGAGAGGAAACAGCGGGGAGGTGGTGTAAAGAGAACTTTGGCACGAAAGTAGACATTGTATTAGGAGTTGGTCTTTGCTGTTAAATGTTCGCAGGCAGCTTAAAGCAGTGTTTACAGCAGCACAGTTCATAATGGTTAATCCTGGAAGCAGCCTCTACTCCCGTCAGCAGGTGACTGGATAAAGAAAGTGTGTGGCTATCTGTAACAGGATACTATCTGGCTATAAAGAACGACACATTTGTAGCAAAGCCAAGCTTCTGTATGGTAGATCTCATCTAAGTGAGGTAAAGAAAATGATACAAGAGGGATGGAAAGGGACAAGGGGACGGATTCTTGCAGCGGGGAAGTGGTCCAAGGGAACGCGGGGGCGGGTGAGGCGTGAGGAGGGGAGGGGAAATGCGAACAAACCCGTACCATGTCCAGGAACCTAATAACCCCAACTAATGTGAACACTGCGTGGCATATCATGAGCTAAGACAAATAATACAGCCAAGTATGAAAAAGGGGGCAGGGGACCTGGAGGCCGGGGGAGGGGAAGCAGAGGAAAAGGAGTAACGAAGAAACGAACTGTAATATGTACCTGGGACCTCTCCCAAAGATGACTGCAAACCGCATGAATGGCAAACACGTAGTAATAAAATGGGGAGAAATACTTGAAAAGCAAGGTGCCTAATCTCTTCAACCTAAGTAGCCCAGGCTGGTCTCCAACTCACAGTGATCCTCCTGCCTCAGCCTCCTGAGTGCTGGGATGACAGGTGTGCGCCACCACACCCGGCCTTTACTTACTGTATATCTTTTCTTATACCCATGCTACGGAGCTCAATGGATCGCTCCCTAAATTCTAGCTGTTGCTGCGAATTCAAGAGAGAAAAATCTCAAGATGATTCTACTGGCCTGTCAGGGTTCTCAGATCCCGCGACCCTTCTGGACACCCCTGTGTGGTGTGGCCTTCAGGGGACACCCCCCCCACCCCCGTGAGCCTGGTCTTTCTCCCAGCCCCCAGCTCCCCCCCCTTGCTAAAGTACCGGGAGGGTCTTTGTCACGGGTCTCTGGGGTGATTATTGTGCCAGCAGGAAGGAAAAGGCGCTGTGATTTTGGTGATCAGGTGGATGGATTCTCTTGTTGATTCTCTTGTTGAGGAGTGCTGTATTTCCGAGTCCCCATGACGCATGCCTATGGTGCTTTCCTATGTTCCCTCCCACACACACGTTCCCTTCCCACCACTGAAGCAAGACAGCACCTCCCTCAGCTTTTCTTTTGGTACTGGGGATCGAATTCGGGACCTCGTGCTTGGGAGGCAGACGGCAGAACCACTGAGCCAAATCCCCGGCCCCCAACAGCATCAGCTTTTTAATGAAATTATAGTTTTGGGGTTCCTATTAAGGCAATGTTAAGTCTCCCCCACCCCTTTTTGGGGAATTACTCGGGAATGAACCCAGTGCTCTGCCCCTGAGCTACATCTCATTTCTTTTCAACAGAAAGAAAAAGCGATTTATAAATTCTTTAAGTCTTCAGGGTCCCACTTATGTATTGGTATTCAGACCTACAAGACCAAAGGTCAGGCCAGGGATTTAGCTCAGTGGTTCCATTGCCTGCCTCACAAGGGCCCAGGTTGGATCCCCAGTACAAAAAAAAACCAAAAAACCGAAGGTCAAGCTCACTGGTTGCCAAATATAGGAAACGTTATGATTGTAAGTATAGTAATAAGAGTAGCAACAGCTGTAAGAATAGAGATAAGAATAGTAATAGTAGGGCTGGGCATTTAGCTCAGTGGTTCCGCTGCCTGCCTTGCAAGCGAAGGTCCCGAGTTTCACTCGCCAGTACCAAACAAACAAACAAAAAACCAAAAGCAAACAAACAAAAAACCCAATAGTAGTAGTAGTAGCAGTATAATAGTAACCACCACCAGTGCTTACTATGTGACAGCTCCGGGTTAAACAGTTCAGGCGAAATTCTACGTTTTGAAAAGTCTTCATAGCAAGCGTATGTGATAGCTACTTCTGTTCTTCTGGGGAACCGACACCCACAGAGGTTAAGTGCCTTGTCCAAGGCCACACAGCTGGTAAGTGATCAAGCAAGAGCTCAAATTTAGGCTGCAGAGAGGTGAGGTCATGAAACTGTTGAGCTGGATCTATTCCTTATTCAAAACATTTGACATTTTGCTAAATACAGGTTTTTTCTGCATTAACTTATTAATTTTAAAAATTACACAAGAAGTGTGTGAGAGCATGCACCTGTCATCTCAGCATGCTGGGAGGCTGAGGCAGGAGGATCACAAGTTCAAGCTCAGCCCGGGCAAGTTGACAAGTTAGTAATAATCTGCCTTGAAAAAACAATTTTTTTAAAGGCCTGGGGCTGTAGCTCAGTGTGAAGCCCCTTGATTCAATCCCTATTACTGCAGAAAGGAAAAAAGAAAGGGAAAAAAAAGCAGGAGGGAGGAAAAGAAAAAGAAAAGAGAAAAAAAAAAGCTGAGGTGAGGGACAGCCATGTCTGACAAAGGGGAAGATTGGAGGTGACCTTGTAAAGCGTACTCAGCCCCCAGAGGTAAGAAGGGACCGGGGATTTTCACGGAAAGCAGAAGGTACCCAAAAATCAACCCGGTGGATGCGACCAACTGACGTCACTTCCGGTGTCCTGTTTCCCACCCCCCTCCCCGAGCCGATCACCAGCGCTGGGCTCCGGACTCTGCGGACTTAGGGGATATCCAAAAACTCTTGCATTTGCATCTCATTTACTGCCCCAGCTGGGCCACCATCATCTCGCACTTTCAAAGCACACTTTCCAATTTTAGTTTGCAAAAACAAAGCTTTCTTAGACCTCAGTTACTCGGGGGCGTGCACGTGCAGTCCACAGAGCGATCTCGGTCAGGTTCAGGGTGAGTTGGGGGGCTGGGCTGCGGCTCGGTGGTGAGGGCTTTCCGAGCTGCAACCCCACCTACACACACACACACACACACACACACACACACACACGCACACACCCTGGCACAAATCCTCCATTGTAGGTCTACATGCACCTATTTCCCCCGGTTATCACGACAACGAAACAAACAGAAATGGACTCTCCCGGTCCCACACGCTAAAGTCTGAAATCGACGTGAAGCCTATCTGGGAGGATCTTTTGCCTCTTCCTGTAGCCAGCGGTCACCACCAGCACTGTTACTCTTGTCTGCTTTTGTCTTCACACTGCCGTCTTCCCTGTCTCCGTGTCTCTCCCCGATTCTTAAAAAAAAAAAGTATTACCGTGTCTAAGTTGCCTAAGTTGGACTCATACTTGTGATCCTCCTGCCTCATCCTCCCAGAGTACCAGGGTGAGAGGTGTGTGGGCCCCCGGCTTCCTCCACTTCCTGTGAGCACTGCGGTTGGATCTAGAGCCTCTCCGTCCCTCTCCACCTACTGCCTCAGCACGACCTGTGCTCGGATGACCTCACGTTCCGAGGCTTTTGAGCTTTGGGACTCCGAGCTTTGGGAGGACGCTGCTCAGCCCACTAAGCCGTCACAGAAGGGTCTCCAAGGACGAGGGGCCCTGTCGAGAAGGGACGCGCGGTGCTAGGTGGCCGTAGGAGCCACCTCTCGAGAGTCATTTCCTCTCGCTTGCGGCGCTGTCCCGCTAGGACCCAGCACAGCGTCTGGTCATAGGTGCTCAGCCGGGGTTTGTGAAGGAATGAACGAGCACTAAGCCCTCTGCTAAGAAGCTGCAAATATTCTCTGCCCAAGGGCGATTCCCACCCCGGCTCACTCACTTCACCTCTGCTGTTTGTTTGTTTTTTTTTTTTTTTTTTTTTTTTTTTGAGACAGGGTCTCACTATGTAGTTGAGACTGACCTGGAACTCCCTGTGTAGCCCAGGCTGGTCTCGAACTCACAGCGATCCTCCTGCCTCAGCCTCCCGAGTGCTGGGATTACAGCTACTCCTGCTCTTCTGCTACTGAGGGGATGAGTTCACTCAGAAGGGGACTTCCCCGCCAGCGAGGAGACGGAGGTCGGGCCCGGCCGACTCTCTGGCTGGGTGAGATCAGCGGAGTTCTCCTCCTCTTC